TGGGCGGGCGCGTCTCTCTCTTCGGCCCCAAGACACTTCGTCCCGAACATCACCTTCGGCCACCCCGTCGTGGAGAGCCTGCGCAAGCGGCTGGGCCAGGAGCCCTTCTTCGGTAAGGGCCGGGGGCTGCGGGGCGCTGCCCCTCGGCAGCGGGACCCGGCCCCACTGCCCGCTCGCTCTCCTCTTCCAGACATGCACATGATGGTGGCCGCGCCAGAGCAGTGGGTGAAGCCCATGGCGGTGGCTGGTGCAAACCAGTACACCTTCCATCTAGAAGCGACGGACAATCCCGGGGCGCTGATAAAGGACATTCGGGAGAACGGCATGAAGGTGAGGGGAGTACACACTGTGCTGTGCTTAGCTCACAGCTGCCTTGCGGGCAGCTTCTCTGTGGTGACCAGTGACAGGAGCCGAGGGAACGACCTGCGGCTGTACCAGGGAAGGTTTGGGCTGGGTATCAGGAAAAGGTTCTTCCCCCAGACGGTGGTGGGGCACTGGACAGGCTCCCCAGGGAATGGTCACAGCCCCAAGGCTGCCGGAGCTCCAGGAGCATTTTCACACTGCTCTCAGTACAGGCTAGCAATTGTGCAGGGTCGGTGTCTGTGCAGGGCCAGGAGTTCGCCTGTATGAGCCTTGTAGGTCCCTTCCACCCTTCAGGTGGTCTAGGATTGGCAGATGCAGCCCTAACACGCTGGGCATGAAGTCAATCTTCAATTTTAGTGAAGAAAATGTGGCATTTTTAAATCAAGAAGCCTGTTCTTCCTGCCATTACACAGTCATGTCATTACTTTGCTAGGAATGTGTACTGAGCTCAGGCCAGTCTTGCCCTGAGGTGCACTAATCATAAGGTGCACTGAGATTTGGCTTCCCTTCCTGCAGGTTGGCTTGGCCATCAAGCCTGGCACTACAGTTGAACACTTAGCACCTTGGGCCAATCAGATAGACATGGCTTTGGTGATGACAGTAGAACCTGGGTTCGGAGGACAGAAATTTATGGAAGACATGATGCCAAAGGTAAAGTATGTTTCTCTTTCATTATTTATTGAGCTAAAAGCTAATTAACAGTAGGGAGTATGGTGGTAAAATAGATAAACCTTGTCTAGATGTATAAGAAGCTGTGGGGTGGCAGCTCAGTGCCCACATTTTTATCTGGTTGCCCAGGTTCAGTGGCTGAGGACACAGTTTCCCTCCTTGGATATAGAAGTGGATGGAGGAGTTGGGCCTGACACCATCCATAAGTGCGCAGAGGTAAGAGGTTGCAGCAGAGCAGCATTCTCAGTCACTGTACTGAGAGACTTATCAGCTCCCAGAAAACAAAGCTTAGGAGAAATTTTTTAGTTTTCATAGGGAACTATAAAACACATTTAATATCAAAATGTCTTTGAGGTCTAATCTTGTGCCTTTTTAAAAACGGTGGCTGTTGAAGCCTCCCCTAAGCTAAAGAAGTTCATTTCCTTTATGTTGGTGTAAATAGGCACAATGTGATGAAGAAATTACATATCTGGGGAAGAGCTGTGTTTTTTGAACTTGGTTTGGGGGTTGTAGTTAGAGGTGTATCCCATGTCCCACCTGTTTGCACACCAGCCCAGAACTGACAACCTGCAGTGTTTTACAGGCGAGCTGTAGGTGAGGGCTGTGTTCTGTGTGACTGAGCAGGTGTTTGATGTCTTCCAGGCAGGTGCCAATATGATTGTGTCTGGCAGTGCTATTATGAAGAGCGCAGACCCAAGGTCTGTGATCAACCTCCTCAGGAATGTGTGTTCAGAAGCAGCCCAGAAGCGCAGTCTGGATCGGTGAGACCTGCCCAAGCCGTGTTCCAGAAGGCTCTGGGCATGCAGGAGAACCCTCTTCTTGTGCATAAGCGAGGGCTGGATGAACACCAACTACAGAAACTTCTTGCTGCTCAACAGAGGAATCATTCCTTCGCTGCAATGAAGCAAGCAGCAGTGGGAAACATTCTGGCTGTCTTTCAGGGTTGGAAATGCAATGGTTTGAACTCGTGTCTTGATTTTGTGGAGGCTAATTTCGTGGCACAACCTCTAATGCTGACTGGATTGAACTACAGTCAGTTTGTTGCTTGCTAGAAGAGTGTAGCATTGCCACAAGAAGCTCTCTTGTGGAAGACTCTTAATCAAACTGCCTTCTGCTGTCTGTATTTTGTCATTTGATCTGTGCATTCCTACAAAACTTTTCCACTACTGCATTAAACACCCCTTCCTTCCTGTGTTAAGTTCTTTAAGCTGTCATAAATGAGTGGGTTTAGGAGTAAGCTTAGGGAAAATGCAGCATAAGAGGCTAAAAAACATTGCAGTGATGGTAGAAATATTCCTGTCCTTTGCCTCTGTTGCACTGGGAGTAATTGGCCTATAGAAATCCAGCATCAAGTCAGTGCAGCCTCTTCACCACATCACAAAGTGGGGAATTTCTTCTCACTTACCTTTCAAATAGCCAGTTAAGACAGCTGGGTTTTAATTCCTGGAAGTGATGGAATTCCTCAGGAGAGTGTTGCTTTAATACTCTTCAAAGAATTAAAACCCTTCATCTTGCTCCACAATCTCCTTGGTTTGTACATACATCTGAGTGAAGGATTAAGATGGTAACATACAGGAAGGGAATCTGCTGGAGAGATATGCAGCTTGAAATGCCTGGAGATGGGTCTGTAAAACAGCTTGTGGAACCACATAGTTACCAGTCCTTCAGTTTGCTGTGTCCACAGGCCTGGCCTGTTTGAGCACATGAAGGTGAGTTACAGTGCACTAGAGGAAGACTGAGAAGGCCATTTCTAGGTAGACGTGTCTCCCATGGCTCTTCAATATTTCATGGTGTTCTGTGTGTTATTTTGCCCTTTAAGCTGCAGTTACAGAAGGGTTGCAAACAATCTGCTGCCTTGGGGAGCCAGGCCATTTCCACAGGACCAAAGTTGGGTCTGTTCTCTTTGTAGCAACGCTGGGCAGGTGTCACCTGGCAGCTGCTGAGGCAGGTTCAGACACTCGAGTATCTCAAATAGCTGAACTGCCACCGTTTTTCTGTGGTTTAGATGAACAAATGTTGCTTCCTGTTTCTACCTGCAACCTCATTTGGGAACCAGCACAAGAAATATGAAGTTGTCTGGACCTATTGTACTGAGAGATATTTTAGAAGAGGTTTGCCAAAAGCAGGCTTGGCCATGAAAAGCTAGTCCCCAGGGCTGTTGGGTGTGTGAGAGAACCTTATCCAAGCTTCTGGAAAGAACAAGTGTGGAGTTTAATGTATGGACAAACAGTCATGGCTCTGGTAGGTAAAATGCAGGCTGGACAGCCACCAGCTGCAATGAAAATGCTAGTTCAGGATGTGGAGTCTGGCTTTTCATGCTGTTGAAAGCAGGACAATAGCTGTAGTATTCTAACCTCCTGCAGTTGAGTGTCAGCTGGATTGAAAGGGTAATCAAACTTTCTGCTTTTTTCCTAATTAATTTAGGGGTGACATCCAAGTTGTGCTAGTTAACTGATGGTAGGAGGCTTTGTGGAACCTTTTGGTATGTTCTCTGTTCATAGGCTGTAGCTGTAATTGTTTTAGGGATGGTAAGTTTGCACTTGCATTGACTCTTGGGTTAGGAATCTGTGGGAGAGATGTTAGACCCACAAAGTAAAATTGCCTAATTGCTTCTGTCTGAATCCCACCCAGGTGGGTTTATGCAGGTGACTCCTGCTGCAGCAGCTTTTATACATCTAAGGTTAAATCTGTTAGTGACCATGTCCCTAAAATCACAGTAATGAATGATTCTTGTTCTTTAATGCTTGAGAGTGTTTCAGTTTCTCACCTGTGTACATTTACAGAAGTGATCTGTTTGGGGCCTGTTTAGGCCTGTCCTCCTGTACTCGGTAACAAGCCTTGAGTCCCAGGACTTTGAAGTGAGTGCTGACATGAAAACCCAGAGAGCTGCTTGCATGGTCTCCTCTTGTATGGGCTGAAAAAACCTCAGGCCCATTAGATGTTGCAATCTTCTGACAAGGTTTTAGCAGTAAGGGAGAGCACAGCCTGTTGTACTGAGGCACCTGGTCTAGTGTCTGAACTGGAAAAGGGGATGAAAACAACTTGTTTGGAGCCAAGTCACAGCCCTGAGTGAGATAAAACACTGCAGAGACGCAGACAGAGCTTAGTTTTAATAGGGTTTCAAAATCCTTATTTGTACTTACATGCCATTAAGGTCCTGGATGCAGAGATGAAGCATTTTAAACCCTCACAGCAGCAGGAAGCGGAACGTAAGTGGTGTTAAAAAAATGCCTCAGTTGAAGATGGTAAATAAAGCGCATGGGAAATGGCTTTGTGCAGTTGCAAACACCCACTTTCATGCCTGGGGGGGCATTGCTGCATTGTTTTAAGTTGGTTTTTCCACAATCAGTCTTTGTAATACCTTCAGCCACAGCGGTAGCAGCAGCACTAACAGCTGTTTTCATAGCTTAACAGCCAAAGTGAGGTTGGGTTTTGTCTGGGGCTTTATTTTCTGTTTAAAACTTTGAAAAGGAATGAAAACAAGCAGGGGATCCTGCACATTTTATGGCTTTGAGGATGAGCCTAGCCCTGAGCCCTCAGCCTGCTCCTACAACAGGTACAGCTTCCTCATTACTCCAGCATTCATGCAAAACTCAGCTGTCTGGAGGTGGGAGGCCAGCTGTGCCAGGACATGGGCTGCAGGCAGCAAACCATGATACCAGTGCTGATGGCAGCTGCTTGCAGCACAGGGACAAATGAAAGGAGAAGGCTGGTCCTGCAATCAAGTTGAGTTCAGCAAGTTTTTTAACCCTGTCCCAGTACTGAAATGAGCTTGCTGAAAAAATCAGGTGCCTCCCTGTCTGGAGCCAGGACACAGTGGAGACAGAGAAGGCAGGGCACAGGTCTGCAGCTTCTTGAGAGCCATCTCGCTTGCCCTGCCACACGGAGGGATGCTGGAGGCAGGCAGGTGCTGAGGGAAATGCAGCCTGTTCCTGGCCCCCCATGGAACCTATCCTGCTCCACTGGAGCCCTGTGCACCACCACTGCATGGAACAACCCTGTGCTGGCACTGTGGGACGAGGAACAGCTCTGGCACTGTGCTCCAGCAGCCAGTTTGCTGTCACAGGCCTAGCTAGCTGAGAGGCAGCTGTTGGAGAAAAGATTTCTGCCGTGAGTGGGCTGGGTAAGGACCAAACAGACATTCTGCTTCTCTCTTGTGCCTGCCCATCCTTTCTCTAACTACCCTTTTTATTGCTGTCTCATGAAGCAATAGCAAGTTCCCATGAGGGCTGGCAAGAACATACAAGAGGGGACACAGCAAACGTGGTTCCCCTTGCTCAGAGCACTCAGTGCCTCTGCAGTGCACAAGGAACCCAGCAGCTGCTTTAGCCCACACGAGGGCTGACTGCAGCCACACAATGGTTTAGAACCTCAGCTGGGACCTGAACTGCAGTGTGGGGATGCTCTGCAGTTCCCCAGGCTGGCCAAACTGGGATAACCCAGATCCTATGACACAAGGGGTCTTTGGCCTCTTTTTTAACACCCTCCTGTACCAGACTGGATTGTATTTCTTCTTCCTAGCAGCACTTTCAGGACATGGAAGGCAGCTGGCCTGGCTGGCTGGTTTACTTGGTCTGTCCCCTCTCCTGAAGTGCAGGAATTCCTCCCTCTGCCCCAGGCATCGGACAACACAGGAAGCCCATACCTTAGAACAGGGCAGGCTGAGAGCTGATCAGATCAGGCTTCCTAAGGAGTAGACAGGGCTATGGAAAAGACCTGCAGAACACTTGAGACTCTGAACTTTGACAACTTTTTCCTGGAAGCAGGTGCACATGCAGGGCAAGAGAGAGGGCAACACACACCTCTTTACTGAGGCACTGAGGGGCCATTGGCCTCATGCCATAAGCACAGTGACAGTACCACAGCAAAGCTGCAGTGGGTCTGCAGGCCAAGAGGAAGTACTGCTGCTACTTCTTCACTTCTAAAAAGCCATCAAATTCAGACTATATACAACATATATAGAAATAACTTTTAATTAAAAAACCAACCTTGCATCAAAGAGTATTATATCAGACATTGAGGCAAGATTCAAGTTTAAGACAAACCAGTGTTAAAAAAGTGTTTAAAAAAAATAATCAGAATGTGCAATAAACTACAATGTAGCAATAGGTTGTAGTGTTGAAACTTTACTGAACTGTTTTCATATGCCCAGTGTGTATTTCCTGTCATTTTGACCAAAAAAATAAATTGACACTAAAACTCGGTCATCTGTCCAGTGCCATTCCAGGTATTACACATGGAAGAAAACTGCACAAAAAACAGAGACTCCTGTTAAGTTGCCTTCAACTGTCCTACACAGAAAAACTGCCTGTTGATGGATTGTACCTACATTCAATGTTTAATCTTTGTTAATACCTCTTGGGACTGCAGATATATTCCAAGCTATGGTATTTAGATGCAAGTTTGAACAACTTGCCTTTGTTTTCTCACTGTGAATGCATTGGGAAATGAAAAATGTATCCAGAATCACAATGGAAAGCTTTGGGGCTTTTTTTTTTTATTGCTCTTCAAGACATCAATCATCTTTTCCTTTCCAGCTAGTCACCAAATGTTGGCATACTTATGAGACTCTTACAAGGCACTGTACAGCAATTGGAACAAGACTTTAACATATTAAAGCTAAGTATTATGAGCCTCATTAGCTGCTGAAGGACTAAGGAAGTAAGATGATCCAAACCACAACGTTCCATGGGCTGTGTCACTGATTTGGCTCGACCCCTCTTTGCTCCTGCCTCTCCCTCCCCACAGGCCTGAAGCAGAGACCCTGCTTCCTGGGTGTCAGATACACTGGCTATGGCAGTGCAGTGGGCTGCTTCTACCTTATTGCTTGAGGACTTCAATATGGAATGTGCCCTGGCACTGCTGAGAGCTGACTTCTATGACTTAAACTAGATGCAAGGCTTCCAGATCCCCTGGTTTGAACTGCTGGTTCTCACCTACCCTTACCTTACACATGCAGTCAGAGAGACAGGTTTTTGCCCCATGGTCATGCCAAACAGGGAAATAATCTGAGGCTAACACTTATCCCCACTATCTTCAAGTAGTTTTTCTGTGTTCAGTTGAAGTTGTTGGATAAGGTAGACAGCTTCTGCTGCACCACAGTCCACTAGAACCAGATATGCATTTGAAAACAAACAAACAGAAAAGGATGATTATTGACAAATGTGGCAATATGACAACAGAAAGTGAATGGTGCCAGCAATTTATGTGCGCCCACTCCTGACATTGAGACTATTAGACTTCCAGCTTGAAATAATTACTTTCTCTTGGGGTTCAGGAAGAAGAAAGTGTTGTCTTTGGGATTTATCCTGCCTGTTGCAAAGCAAGAAAGAAAATATATTATATGCAGCTAACATAAAGGTTTTGAATTGTGCTGTCATATGCTGTGTGAACGAGAGATTTTACCTTACACTTCTCTCCACCTTAACTGGCTTTCTTAATGAACTACATTATTCCCTGTCACCTTTGTTTCCTTGTACTGTTGCTTCCCAGGCAAACACTTTTGCAGTCTTCTGACTCTTGGGTAAATTGTTTTCTTGGTGGACAGCCATTGTCTGGCAAAGCAGTGGGTGTGCCTGGAGTGCAGGGAGAGTTGCTGGGGAAAGTTGCACTTGACATTTCAGTCTGATTCGTTACTTGATCTTGGCACAGTAAAGCTTCAACCTCTTCATCTCTTAGTGGAAAAACTCGAAGTTCCCACAGCCCAGACTGAAAGGAAGCAGAAGAGTAGGAGTGAGGGTGGAAAAAAGAGTATAGAGGATAAAAAGGGATTTTAGTTGAGTGTGAACTGATTAACTGTGTGCAGAATCATTTGCTATCAAGTAACAAACAAGTGTCTTTCTTTACAACATTTGCAGGGCTCTTCAGATAAAGAATACAACACTGCCAGGCACCAAGATGTAAGCTGGCTGTGTAAGGTTTTGAACTAATAATAGACCTACCCTCAAACCCTTCCAGGCAAGGAAGCTCTTTTACACAATGCCAGACCATCAGGATGTTTGACCCCTAATGACCAGACCTGTCTGGAACCTTGGCCCCTAACACCCCTAAAAGAAGCCCAGCCTGAACCCAGTCCTTCCATATTTGCCTCAAAAACATGTGCCATGTGTACTGAGCAATGAAACTTTTACTTGTTGACAGATCTAGGGTTAATTTACAAAGCACATCAACGTTGTTCTGAACGGGAGTACTACATTCAGTGCACGTTAACTAGGGTGACAGCCTGAGATTCTGATCAGTGAGACAGGAGAGTATCTTCAGGTTTCTTTATAGTCACTGAAGAACTGACCAGACTTGGAAGCTATTGGAAGCACCCACCTTCTCTTCCTGGCTGTCCCTGCAGAGTGGTGCCATCTCTGAACAAACAGAGCTGTGGGATTCCGAAGCTGGGTCAGGAGCAGGGTCAGCAGCACAATGGTCTTTCTGCACTGAGTCCTGGCCGTGTCGACCATCAGCATTTTTGCTGTAAGATCTAGTGCAGAATTAGAAATGAGTTTTAAGAGCTACTCCCTGACCTTTCACATTGCTATGAGCAGTTCACAGTTTCTTTTAGAAGTGTTCAGTTTCTCCACACATGCTACCTCCATTCTGCTTGCTTAAACCAAAAGAGCAAAGGAAAACTGGTGTGGTTCTTGACCTTGCTGGCTGGAGCCAAAGCAAAGCACTGTGTGGGAGGATCTAAGTGGATAAAATGGGTAGGACAGGCACACTCTGGCTGCAGACAGCTAGTGACTGGTCCCACTCCTGCATCTTGCTCCACATGCTCACCAGAACTGTGATCTGGACAAAAGAAATCAGCGAGCCACAGACTGTTCCACTTGGGAGAGCAGCATCACCCACAGGAGCCTGTGGGCTCCAAATGGCACTGCCAGCACTGTGCCAAGTGCAACTCCAGAGACAAGTCCTTGGGCTCCCCCTTACCACTTCTGCTCTGGAATCAAGTCTAAAGCAATCAAAAATGTAGTAAGATTAAAAATTTTGACCTCACTTTAAACAGAAATTTAAACTAGATATAAAACAGTGGCATGCATCCAAAATGCCAGGTGGAAGCCTGACCTTGCTCATGTCAATGCACAGTTTACTTCTGAATTCAAGCAGCATTAAGATTTTACCAAGGAGTTCACATTTTCCAAATTAAGGTACATACAGAACTTTTTATTTTTCAGAACACTTTCTGAAGTTGGGAGGTTTTATGTTCAAAATTGCTTAAAATAAAATTCCTCAATATTTCCTCTATTTTTATCCTGCATTTAAAAAAGCTCTTTTGACTATTTTTTCTTAGTGTCATGGTTCACTTCAGACAAGAGTAGACACAAGCATATGATAAATAGCAGAAAGAGTCACCCCACCATTTCTAGGCTGCTTTTTGCCCTTGCAGATTGTGAAGTGATTTATGGGAATCATTTTCTCAGGACCAAACTGCAGATGCAGCTTTATGACATTTTTTCCCGATATACAGTACTTTTTGCAAGACTTTTAGTGGTTACATTTAAATCTGCTGAGTTCTGCAGCAGATGGCAAGCCTGTGAGAATGAACCATTCACACAATGACTTTCTGAACACTGTGGAGTTTCATCTGAGTGAAGAAGGACTCATGATACACTGGGTGGCTAAAGTCATGGTGACTGGGAGTGGCACAGTGTTCAGAACTCTGTGTTCAGTGAGGGAGGAAGGTGTTAGTTTAGTAATGCCAGGTCACTAAAATGCCCAATTTCTGTCACTATGTATGCCTCAACACTGCCTTCTCTTACCAGCTGGAAGTTAAACGTACCTGGTACTGTCCCTGATGAGTTTAATTAATGAATGGTGTTTCTAACTTCTGTGACAGCATTTCTGACACTCCTGTAACCACAACCCACACCATGTTGAACAGGAAGGCTCTTATCAAAGCCAATACACCTGCCTGCTGTTCCTCCTGGGCCAGCGGCTCTGCTCCCACAGCGACCACCTCATGCGCTCTCTTTCTTCGTACTTGGTGTGGCGCAAGGAAAAAGCTTTGTCCGACAGGTCTTCTACCTGTAACGAGAGCCAGGGAGAGCTGTCATTATCAACAGCACTCAAACACCACCAGCCAGTATTGGACATAACTCTGCAAAGGTCTGTTCAACAAACAACAAGAGGCAACACAATACATGCCTTCACTACAAAGGCACATTTACATGCATTCAGTTTACAAGAGCCCTGGTGCATGGGGTGCTGTCATTTTAGCTTTATTTCTTTACATGTCTGTGGTTGATCAGAATGGATATAGAAGTTACACCCCCTCCATGCAACTAACACATTTTCCTCTGTGGTGAGAGGCAGAAAATTTAGAGGACAAGTATTCATTTGCAAATTAAGGCAGTGTAAAAAGTGCATAATAAAGACAAGCAAAAATTCTAACAGTTTCCAGAGATTGCGTTAGGAGGAGGCTGGGAGCAGCAGGATTTGCCAGGTGCTCTTTAAGCACTGAGAAATAGGTTTGAGATCACCAAGGACTTTGATAACTCCCCAGAAAGGAACTTGGTGAACCTGAGGTGCCACATTCCTGCTGTGAAACCAAGCAGAAAATGGCTTCTGCTTTTAAGATACTATTTCTTACCCAATGGCTTGCATGATCCCAAGTACAGCTTAAACCTGCCCTAATGCAGTAAATTACCTGTTTGTAGTAAAACAAGAGCCAACTTTTTAGCTAAAAGATGTAGCTATTGCACCTGACTTTCACTGTGAAAGTGCCATCTGTGTGTCTCTGATGGCAGCACACCAGAAGTTTGTTCCTTAGCCAGGGCTGGCTGAGGAGCACTTTGCTGCCCTTCCCCCTCACTCCCCTGATGGCAGGGGGAGTTCTTGGCTTTGGGTTTCTCCAGTACAGCTCACAGTTGTTTCAAAGTACTCCAAACCATTCAAAGTTCACCTAAAAAGCTGAGGTTGGCAGAAGGAATTTGAGTGCTGCAATCATGGATTTTATGCCAGCTAGTCCCAACTCAAAAGCTGAGAAATTCTTGGAAAGAACAATTCCTGGTCACAGGAGCTGTGAAGCTGTCAGGTCAGTCCTAGACAAGAATTATACTAATAACTGGGGGTGTCATGTAACATAAATTGTATTTTTTATTTTCTAAAGCAAAATCCTCAGTGGTGTTGTACAAGTAACACTGTTTATCTTCCAACTGAGCCTACAAAATAGAGAACCAAATGCAGGGTCCTCACTGCAGTGCCAGGCAGTGCCATAGAGACACTGGCAGTGCTCCACTTTGTCGTGTTTCTGTGGAAGCCATCCCCGTATCAAGTCTCTCAGAACTGAGATGGTTCACAGCCCTTAGGGGTACATTGACAAAGTATCACAACCAATCAGTGTGATCCCAAAGGCTCATTTTGATTGGAATCAGACACAGGACCCATTTGTTGGCCTGTGACTGCCAAGCTCCTCCTCAGCCCAGCACTTGACAAGAACCTTCAGACAAACAGGCTGCTTAGTTTGCTCATCTCATCACTCCTTGCTGAAGGCTCCTTCATTGCTTTTATTTATTTATGTTAAACACAAACCACTTTGTTAGCTGCTGGTTTCCTTTCAAGCAAGTGAACTTAATGGGTTTCCCCCTCTCTCTGAAATTCACCAGCCCTGTCACTTGGAGAGCATTCAAACAGGGCTACACCTCAGTTCACATTCTGTCTTTCCAAGGTCAATGACGTATAGCATGAAAGTGACAATTTTATGAACTACAGGAGTGTTATTCCATTGGGGAAAATTCAGGCTTTGCTGTGCTCAGATATCCTTTGAAGTGGAAACAAAAGATAATTTAGAAAGAAAAACTTAGCAATTTGAAAATACTTTTCTTAGCAGATTGCCAAAACTTTTCATGCTGGGAAGAAACTTCATTTTTAACAAGTTTCCATTCAAAAATCAAAGTCCACATTCCACTCCAAGTGAAGAGTTTTGAAAAATACAGAAATAAGCCTTGTTTGTTTTCCCTAGCTGGTGATAGCATATTTAACCACTTGTTTATTTAAAAAGAGTTCTACCCTATTCTTTTGAACAGTAAATTTTCTTATTTAAAAATCATTATCTGTTTTATGGATAAAAATTTCATGACATCAGAATAAAAGGTCTCTACTTGGCTCACTACAGCCTCTGCTGCTCCCCAGCATTTCCTCTAACAACTTTAGATTCATTTAAAGTTCTGTAACAGGAGAAATTTGGTGTTTTTTTCTCACTAAGGTTAGTTTCAAAAAGGACAATGGAAGTGTCATTCCTCAGTGGATGGATCTGGCAGGGATGTTGAGAGAAAAGGCATTTGTGAGGCATGTCTAATGATTTCACTCAAAGAAAACTAAGCTTTGGATCCCCCCATGACACTCCAGCACACTGTGCATTAATGTCGAATAGCACCAGGAATATTTCTGAAAGGTTCTCAAAACAACAAAATCTGTGTTTCACTCTTTGGCACCACAGGAAACTCTGAGTCATAGGCCACGAAAACACTTATGCAAAACTAATCCCACAAGGAATTACTCTGAAGAAATTGTCATTACTAAAACAACTACAAAATAAACTTGAATGTTACAACTGTGCCTTTCCAGAAGCATTAGGCTGGGCAAAACAAATTAAAACCAAAACAAAACAGGAAAACTTGTGCCACACCCTCCCATGCCTTAAAGCAATAACACTACAAATTCATACATGCAAACCAGGAAACTCAAATGTTCTATTTCCAGAAAATATTTTTAGAGCAAGTAATAGAGCAGACATAGATAGTAGATTAACTTTTGCATTGCCAATTTTGTTCTTGTAAGGCAAAATTTCCAGGAACAAAAACACACCCATAAAAGGTAAGTGTTTTGTTCTCCAAGCCACAATGAATAGGCCAGATTCCCAGAAAGTGCTGAAAGTTCCCATCCTTGGAAGTGTGGCTCATGTGGAGCACGACAAATTGGGGACCCCACATTTTTTTGTAACTTAGTAAATGCTGGATGCAGGTCTGTTGCAAGAATATGGGCTGTTGAACTGAAAGCCTCTAAAAGAAGACAGAGAAGACAAAGATGAAGATAATGAAGACAAAGAAAAAAGTTAATACAGTAGCAGAAATCTCTGACTACTGCTTGACACAAGGACAACTCTGAAGTTTTAAATTTAGCTGTACAGAAGATAGAGAAGTAAAGAAACTATTGTGTAGTACCACAAAAAATTTTTGAAGTTATATAATTTCCAACACCACCACAGGATACTATGCAGTGAAATAGAGAAAAAGAACATTTAATATAAAAGCAGAAAGTATGTTTTGCCTTCCCTTGTGTTACATGAATGACCTACTGAGGCTTGCCTTGACTTCAGCACACGGAGCAAGTTCAAGAGTGTCAGAACATGAGTGCAGAAAATGCCAACAGGCAATGGTGCTGTTTCCTCATGTCTTTTCACAAACTTACTCAGTAGCAAATGTAATTGCTCAAAGCTAAAGGAAGGTGGAGAATTACAATCAATCACCTTTTCTCAGTACTCTGAAAAACATCCCAACTAATGTGATCTCAAAAGAAAGGGGGAAATTGGCAAAGGATGATTTACACAATCAATATCATTAGCATTTTTCTCTGTCTGATATCTCTCCCCCTCATTCTACCCAGAAGCTGATAGATGATACAGAAGCAGTGGGCCACAGCGGGAGGCAAAGCTGCTGTATTGTTAACTCAAGTTATTTCCTGGCCAGAGGATGAATCATACAGGATTGAGAGTCATGCCAAACACAGATGTACTGGATGGGCTGCTAATTCAGACATTTGTCCATGAGATTCAGAGAGACCTTGAAGTCCCTTCAGCAAAATAAACTAAAAGCACAAGAAAGTCATCTGTATGGGATCTGAAATCTAAACAAGAAATCCACTGATTCCATGCAAGTTCCTCAAAGTCCTGAATGCAAATCACTGTTGAAATTCTTCATTCCCCCCCAGACACCAGGATGAAGACAGCAATGAACAGTAGATGCTCAAGGGACAGTGTGCCCTTGCTGCCTTTATTCGTTATTCTCCAAATGGTTTAATTAGATATCCTTGCAGGAGAGCTCTCCTGTGTGTGGAATTTGCCCTCTGCAGTACAAAGGAAGGACAGGCATGTTTCCTGCTAGCTGGGATGGTCCTAACCCAGAAGTCAGTGGGTGGAAGTGATATAAATATGACCACAGATTTCATAGGAATTTCTCAATGGCATTGGAAAAGGCAGGGACAGAGTAAGCTCTTCTCTTCCTTCCAACCCAAGAGTATGCTGCCAGATTAAGTGCAACTACACCAGGTAAAGAGCTGAGACTGTGATGTTCTCCTAAAGGCAGGAATACAAGTCCTACAGTTAAAATTGGTGATAGTGGCAGAGACTGGAGGGAGATTAAAGATGTCCAAAAGACAACAAAACTGACAGGTTTCTGGAAGAGAAGCCACAAAAAGATTGGAAGGACAGAAAATCAGCCTAGAGACCAGACTTGCTGGTACATTCACCCCAAGGTTAGGAAATGCCTCAAGCCCCTGATTAGGGGAGAAAGGGACAAGCTGCAAAGTCCATGGGCATTCCCTGGAGAAAAAGGTAGACTCTTATGTCTGGAGGAAGCAAAACTGGCCCATGACTTGCAAACTTAGCTCAACAGGCAGGCAGGAAATGCTGACGGTTATGTTGTTCCTGACAATGCAGAAAAGTTTGTTCCCAGCAGGAGGGCTGCAGGAAAACAAATACTGAAAAGAAAAATTGAGGAAGCTTGCTGTAGCCACAGGCAAGATGCCTGATTACCATATGAAGAGCACCATGGCATGGGAACTGGCCACAGAAGGAGAGGATGAGAGGGAGGGACAGCACCCAGAAGACAGTCACACTGGGAGAGGCAGCGTTACAGGGCTCAGGAGCAGGGTGGCAGAGCGTGACCCAAGGGACCCTTTGAGAGCTCAGACTGTGCAGCAGCAAGGGGCAGAAGAGCCAGACAAACAAGGAACAAGGAGTATTAATGGTATACTTGCATTTCTATCTTCACTGTAGGGGTAAGACACATTTTCACAATCTGATACTTAATACTTTGTTTTTTGAAACTTGAAACTTACTGGGATTTGTATGAAGTCAGTGTTTCCTGAAAGTATGTACCAATTAACCCAATTATATATTGTCTCTACTTTAAATAAACCTAGTGGTTTAATTAAAATACAGCCTACCTCTTCTTCATCTGTTTGAGATTTTTCTAAAGGTTGAAGTTCAACAACTCTCCAGCTAGAAACAAAATAAGGAAAATCAAATTAAGTTTAAGGTGCTGATAACAAATGGCTTAAATTTATTTTTTTATTTCCCAACAAGGTTTCTAACCTTTCCTTTTCGTAAAGGATAAGGATATCTTCAAGATATCCAATACAGTTGTAGTAATATTTCTCAACTTAAGAGACAAGAAAAAAGCAAATACATATTATGGATTTAAAGTACAGAATAAGTACATTTAGCACTTCAAGCAACATGCTATTAGGACATCGAAGTAAGCAGAGGAGACCCATTACCCTGGTTTTGAAATCTAAAGATGCTCTCTTCCTAAAACACAGGAGAGAAAGGTCTCTAGAATCATGGATTGTAGGCCTACACTGTATGGAAAGAAGTAAGCTTATTCTACTGTATCAGAATGGCTAAAAAAAACCCAATAAAAAATGAATCCATTACTCCTAAGTCACAGAAAATAATTTACTACTTTCTTATGAACACACAAAAAAAGACAGCAAAAAAACCCCATTCAGAGCTTGTCAGCCTTATGATATATTAAAAGTCATAATTAAAACTGATATAAATCCACTTCTATTTTTAGCCACTCTGTGCATCTGCCACATCCCTGTGTATATCAGACTCTTTCTCCTGTGCTATCAGCTGTCCAGTCTTCCCACCACTTCTGTCACATGAACTGAAATGCACAGATAAAAACCCAAGAGCATGAAAAGATAATCTTTAATATTATAACATTTTCTAATGCCATGTAAAGTATATTCTTACTTAATGTTCTCATGTCCATTTTTCTCATGTCTTTGCAATTAAAGAGGTTGTGAACAAACCTTGGAGTAAGGATTTCTTTGTACTGTAGTTTCTCCAACTTTGATGGTGCCACCAGTGACATGGGAATAACAATGTTGTCTATATCATAGGAGCTCTCACTTCTCAACCTCCTCCTGGAGTTATGCTGAATAACAGAACCAACACAAAAGGACATCAGCTCAAATCATAGGAAACACATGTTAGCAAAGAACCATTAGAACTTCACAAGGAGAAAGCCTGAACTTTGATGGATACTATTCTAAAGTGCTCCTTTACATGTTCTATGATGATGATCAACTCAAGGGAATAAAGGAGTGTGTGTTGTCTAAACTATGTGGGACACAGTTAGTCTAAACTAAACTATGTGGGATACACATTTAAACTCAACTCTGCACTGAAACACGACTTACAGAGCACCAGTGTACCACTATACTTAGCAAAACCATGGGACCTGAATCTGAATTTGTTGTGAATTTACCATTAATTCCAGTAAAATAATGTGTTTCTGTACACTGAGCCAGAGTTCTGCTGCTCCTCAACAAATTATACAGCAGGGACTTTGCCTGTATTTCTGCACAAGGGGTTTTAAATAGGGAAACTGAGACTTAACAAATTTTGTGACTCTATTTGCACCATGATGCCATTTTGTATAGCTGAAACAAGAAAAAAGGGTTGTAAGTGCAACAAACTGGGAACATAAAACATGCTGTATTTAATGAAATATGGGGAAAAAAAAAGAGAGAAATGCACAATGCCAATAAATCAAACTTGCACTCCAGTTACATGATCTGCAAAATTCTTTCACAAGCAAATATCTGTTTTAGGAACACCACATACTCAATCTGGAATAAATTAGTTAGTGTAATCCACTTAATTCACTGTGAAAATGCTCTGCACTGTCATATGACACTAAATCAGATGTAAAAGGCACGTGGCTTTGGATTGTTAATTTGCACAACTCTCTGTTGATGTATCAATTGCAACAGTGACGTATTTTTGGTTTACCTGTGATGAAGTGCTGTGAGTGGGCCGAGACATGGCACTGACACTGCTCGTGGGAGTAAAACTGTTGTGGGACTTGGGCTCTGCATGTTGGAAGGAGAAGGTCTCAAACTGAGTGCTACTTTCGCCTGTCATAAAAACAGCAGGAAACAAGACATACCGGCTGTTGGCTATTAGACTGCAGATATTTTTCCACACACTAATAGTAAAGTCATTTCTAGAAGCCTACAGTGAACCACTTACAATTTACTGGATACTAAAAAAAGCCATCTAAATAAACACTTGCTATTCATCCTGTCATTGTTGTTCCACAAAACTCATGCCTCTTATTCTAAGAAGGATTTCTTCTCATGGAACCAGCTTCATATGGGCAAATCCTTACTCTTTTTTTCAGGAGCTGTCATAGACTACAATACACAGCAAATGCAATCTGACTTAGATTCCCCCTGCTCCCCAGCAGCACTTCTCTACTTGGGGTGTATCTCACAAGTTCTCCCTGACTCTTCCTTAATAAATGATAAAACTGGCAGCAAAGGTAACAAACAAAATCAATTTAGATCTCCAAACCAATAGTAGTTTCTTCTGATTCACTGCTCCAGACAAATTGTAATTCCTGTTTACTCCATTCAGTTCCAGTATGAGCAGCATTTAGCAGGATTCATAATTTACCCACCTGTTCTGCTTTCCTTCTACCTAGTTTCCAGTAAGAAAGGAGAACTCAGACTTCATATACCAACAAACAAATAGAATGAGTGTATTCCAACATGGAAGAAGATGTAAGAATGATCCTAAAGACTGGGTCAAGGTCATGAACTACCATCTCCCAGGCAGCCCTACAACTCCCTGCACACAGCTTTTATTTTTGGCCTTGTTCATTAGGCTGATCTTCCTCATGGATAATTTCTCCTAGATAAAGCCCAAATTAGGAATAAATATGTAGTACTACACCCATAGCACTAATAAGCTAGAACTTGTGCTCCTACTCATGAATGCACCACAGAACAGTTTTCTGTTCTGGGACTGGGATGAACATCATGATAAAAGATTGCTTTTTGGTTCCTTTTATAAAAAACCTAAATACTATTGTCAGAAGACTAATGGTAACTTCAAAAGGTTTGTAGCAAGTTGTTTTCTCTCTTACTAGTGCTCCCAAGTAACTCCAGTTGTTGATCTCAGTGTTCTTGACTACACTTAGGGAAACTGAGAAACACTGTGTCAGCATCCATCTCTAGGGGACCAGGATGTGATCAGGGGAGCAGGTGGCAAACAGGAAAATGGAAAACAGGATCACTGGTGGTGAAAGGGGAGAGGGCACAGCACCCTGCTGGAGATAGGCACAGAGTGTAAGAGAAGGCTGTACAGCAAAGGCACTGCTGTACGGCTCAAGAGGAAGGATTCAAAGGACAACGCTTATCTTATCCCAAACCAGTTTTCAGTGTGCCCCCAAACAGCTTATATTCTCTCCTAAAACTTTCTAATTAATTGGGTGGCCTTGCTTTGGGGTTGTGGACTGTGGGTTTTGGTGTTTATTTTAATCCTAGATGGTGATTTTTTATTAATTCATCTCTGCAGTAATTCCTGTATTTCCACCTCTAGTAAAACATTACACTATGAGTTTTTGCCTGGAAATGCACCAGCAGTTAATTTTTCCACAATGTTAACTGATCATTTATACCTTTTAACTCTTAAGGGAAATTTTAAACTAATATGGCTTCCCCTCTTGCTTAGTGACTTATTTTCTTCAGATGTCTTGTGAAGAATTTTGCCAAAGGTTTTCCAAAAGTTACATAAATCAATCTGTAACAGAATCTGTTAGGCTTTGCATTCTAACAGGAATCTGGAGATTACCTCTCTGGAGAGGTAAAATGCCATTTATCTTTACAGTGGTATGCTAAATTTTTTATCCCTACATTATCACAATATTCTACAGAACTGTTAGGGCACTTCCAATTAATTTACCAAGCGCTGAAGCAGAGATTCAGTGGTTTAAAACAGAAAGGTAACAAAGTAAAAACACAGTAAGAACTGGCTATCCACAAGTCCTCTTAAAGTCTGGAAGGGATCCAGAACCACAAATGACATACACAACAAATGAAATACAGTGCACGAAGTTGCCAGGAATAGTAAATGCTTCACTGACTTAATGACTTTACAGATAACTTTGTAATGTCTATTTCACTGACTACTATTAAAAATCCCCTTTCATATTAAGAATGACACCCAGTATCAGAACACAGCTGAACTGCTGAGCAGTTTTCTTTAAGACATAAATAAAATAAAATACAGCAGCTTGGCTCATTCTGTATGCACACTTAAGAAGAAAGATTATTACTATGCTTTAAATAGCAAATTTTTTTTCATGGTGTTCTGTCTCTTCATAAGTTTCATAACATTATCCTTTTTGGAGACAACTGTTAATTCTCAGAGCCCAGTGATATTCATATAGTACATATTTTAAAAGATGTAGTAGCCTCTTGCACTGCTATTTTTCTCTTACCTACTGCTGTCTCACTTAGATGCCTTTTCTTCCTTCCTTCTGACAGCTGGTCAGGTGTTCCTAACACCAACTGAGATTTGGAATTAGACAAACAGCCACTGCTCCACTGTTTGACAGAAACATGTGGATTACAGTCTGTAACAGAAAAAGCATGTATCAACTTGAGAAATTACTTTACTTTTCATTGGTACAATTTACAAGAAATCTCAACTGCTGAACTATTTCTAATAGCCCCAAACTTTTGATAGGGATCCAAACAGAAAAAGGACTGCAGTTGGGCACCTGGTCCAAACTCCCCCAACTTGTGATACCCTCCTACACCTCTGGTGAGATCATCTCAGTGTAATTAAGGAGAACCTGACACTGGGGTCTGAAGAGATTCCTCTTCCACCTAAAGCCATACTCAGCTACCTTCTCTGATAACCTCCTTTGTGACAAGTTTATAAACTGAACCACTTCATGGCAGAAAGAGAAACTTCTGTTTCCCACTCCCAAGTTAAACATGGCCTTGCAAATACTAAAATATTTTGCTTTACATACCATTGTCAGCAGCTACTTTAAACTCCCCTCCCAGAGATGCAGTATCAACAGGTTCTCCTTTGATGTCATCCTTCCTTAATAATGTTTCAAAGTATATGTGAAGAGGAATATCTAATAAACAAAGCAGAAACCCAAAGGAATAGTGTCTGTATTAGAAATATGGCAACCTCTGAGCCAATGAATTATGCATCATCACTAAAGATCTAGGCACTGATTCACCCAACACATTCAACAAAATCTGTGAGCAATATTACTAAGGACTGAAACAGACTCTGGAGGGTACTGAGTGAGATTAAGACTGGGGTCTTCCCTCTTGACCAGCTCCTTCACAAAACCCAGCACAGCAGAGAGCACAGAGTCTCCTGTACTGTGAAGATGCTTCAATTCAGCCTTTTGTGCACAAGTAATTAATGCTTTCGGAATTTATTACTGCTGGAACCCTATAGGTATTTTCAAGGTACATTCCCCTCTTTGTCTCCCTGGAAAACCCTACAGCAGGGCAATGTAATTCTGATAGGAGTTCTAACACAGAATTAGCCTGCAAAACATTTCAAGTGGTAAGGAATCTACCCCCTGTTATAAGGAAGAAAGGCTTAAAAAAAAGTACCTCTCTCTGAAAAGCCTTTCTGGAAAAAAAAAAAAATTACAAGAATGAAGCAAAATTTAATTGAAAAAAGTGTCAATGTAAGAAGTAGACTTGACAGCTAGTACATTCAGAATGAGAACTGTGGGCAGGGCCCAAGGGTGGGCATTAAATGACATATATTTATGCACAGTCTTAGCCTCATGTGTCTTCAGAACATGCCAGGACAAAAACTTTCAACATATTTTGCCAAATAAAAAGAACAATTTTTTTTCAATGTGATAGGGATCTAACTAGATTGTTTTGTCACAACGGCCCAAGGCTTTTCTTCTGTTTCTCACTCCCAAGTTAAACAAAAAAAGTCTGAAAAGTGTATTAGTCACAACATTTAAGTAAAGAGAGAACCAAAACATTTCTCCTATTTTGTTGGTCTTTTGTATTTTTTGGTTGTTTTTTTTTTGTGTTTTTTTAACCTGGGAAACTACCTGGATGACTCAGATTTTTTATTATGTCCTCTGGTATCTTAACTGAAAGGGCAGGAGTGCTTGTTACAATCAATCCACAGCCTAGGTGCAGAAATACCAGAAACCCAAACTCATTAGATACAAACTACAATTTTCCAGTTATCAAGGTTGAAAGAGGTGCTGTTATGTTAAAGCCATACTGCAACCACTGACACATCTTTAGTCAAGATCCTTGGTAATTTGGAAACAGTGGAAGAAAGACTTTGAAATAGGGACAACTATGCTTTCAGAAAAGAGTACATCAGTTAGACAGTCCCACTGCACTATTTACTAGATTGTCTGCAAATTATGATTCACCTTTAAAGCAAACCACATGAAAAACCAAGGTGAGAGAACTACATCTGAATCTTGAATCCCTCCTTGCACACACGAAAAAAAATCCAAATCCCAGAGTTCCAAAATGAAACAAATGCCAACAATGTATTTTTAACACACAGAGAAAATTAATGCAAACCCCTTTTTCTTTTACTCTGCTGACAATTTTTATATATAAAGATGTGGGCACAGCACAAGCAGTATTTTAAGAAAAGTTATTACTCTGGAAGGGCAAAAAAGAAAGCTGCAAAGAAAACATGAAATGGAAGCAGGCTACAATTTGGAAAATTTCTCCCATGCATTTATTCACAATAATTCTTTCCCATGAAAGAAAATGTCAGACTAGTTTTCATGAGGAGGTAGAGATAGCAAAGCACACAAAGTAAAGCATGAATATAGCCTCCCTCAAAAATGAGGAGTGCATTTGAACAGGAGATAGTAGGTCTAGTACTTTTTCCCTGTCTCAACTATTATTAGCAAGGCTCCTGGAAAAGAGAATAAATATTCCTTAAGAAATATGTTCTTGATACTGGAATGAAGCTAAAAACAATTTTTCTCTTCCATCCTGGCAAAGTTCCAAGAATAGCCACAGCACAGCCCAATGCTTTTTAGGTTTTTTATGATGACAAAGCTTTTTTTGAGAAAACAAAAGGTCAATGTTCTTGCTACACACCCCAGCCTCCCTTAAGAGGGAGGTAAGAATGAACACAAGGAGCACAGACTGTCCTTGAACAGATGTCTAAACCCCTGGGGTCTGGCTGGGCTGCCAGAGTCACAGGGGAAGTGATAGTGTGTGTAAAAGAAGAAAGATTTAGGTGGTGTTTTTCTGTCCACAACAGATTTCTGCTGACTGGGATGTTTGCTGTAGCACTCTGGGAGTGAGCAAGGAAACCATTTCTCCTCTCTGCTCCTACAATAATCTCCTCTTTAACCCATACATGGGATGCAAACTGACGGAGCTGAGGCTTTCTCTGGATTCCATGCCCACACTTGGGTCTTCTCTACAGGCCAGTGACAAGTTCTCCAAAACCCAGCCTTAAGTTAATTCCTGACTTCCTAACACAAAGCTGCAGTGTCTACACTGTCATTCTGGGAAGACAGTGGGCTTGATTAAAGATCAGAACAGTTCCATGCAAGTCCCAGCTTCATCTTCAGAATTATTTTGTGGCAAAGAAGCCCCCCCAGGACAGCATAATTCCTGTACTGGTCACTAACTACTTGGAAATAGGTTTTTCCTAAACAAAAAAATCCCACAGAAGTTCAATCCCTTCTGCTGATAACAACAACATTTAGGCTGTTATTTTGAAGTCCCAAGTGCTGTCAAGTTGTACCTGCACTAATTTCAGGGTTGAGTCACAGACAATATTCTCTGCATTACTGCCCAAAAAGACTAAAAGATCAGATGACAAGAAACCATAAAACTTCAAACATAATCAAAAAATCACAAAAATAGTTAGAAAACCTAAATAAAGCTTTCTAGACCTAGTCAAAAGGGCCTGAAGAGAAGGAAAGTCACTTATGAAAACAACACAAGCATGGTATGGTAATGTGTTGGCAAAAGCTCCATCTCTAAAGGACTAACACAGTTAGACACACTATGAAACACCCAAGCACACCTTTTTTCATGACCAGTCTTTCAAAGCTACAAGCACACTGCTAGTATGGGAAACCTAGAATGTGTGTTTTTCAAAAGTCAGGATCAAGTCAAGATTTTCATTTAGTATAAACTCATGTATTTTGACAGTGTGAAGTTTTCTGTTAAGAGAACTAAGCCCTAAAAATCATTGAATAGACAAGTTAGTCCACAACCTCTAGAGCTGTCACAAGCACAAACACTCTGTTAAGAGTCATGGCATTACTTACCTGAAGGGAATGATAAGACTGGATGGAAGGAAGAGTCCAGCTCTTGCACATAATCAAGGATTTTAGATTCTGTGCTGTACTCACTGCTGCTGAAAGTGGAGGCTGGCACCACACACGGCAACTGAGTTTTATATGGAAAGGAGGCATCTCTAGATGGAAAAGTCTGCAAGAATACACAGAAATGAAGGTTAATTTTTCCTTTACCCATGTCTTTCAAATTAGACCAGAAGAGGAAAAAAACCAACAAACCAACAATTCAGTGAGTGACACTTCTTAATATGTGAATGGGAAGAATATTCCAACAATCTCCAGTCTAAATGTGACTTACCTTCACTTACTATGGACAACAGTGCACAATACAAAGAATACAAACTGCTCCTTCAATTAGGACCAGGAAACAGCTGTCAAAGCTTTCAGATAAAATGTAACTGTTTCCAGTAATTCTTTTGATCTATCTGATGACAAACAAACACCCCTTAAAATTTGATTCCAGAATAACAGGCATGATATAAATGCACAAACAAACCTAACACCAGACTAAATAGAGGGGAATCATTCATTTATCCCCTTAGTAAGATTCTTAGCATTAGTAGCTCTAGGTACCTTGAACCCACACATTTTAATGAAAGAAACTATATTGAACATTTTGAGCACACTGTGTGCTTACACAAACCAAAAAGGCAAAGTCTTTACCTCGTTATTTAAACATCAGATAAGCATCAGAAAGAAGATATACAGCAATAAACATGAAGAGGGATGCATCAAGAACTGATTAACAGGTAGAAACAGGAATTACTAGAAAGGAGAGGTGCAAAGAAAGATTAATTTAGCTGCTGGGCTACAATGCTTGTTAAAGTATGGAAGGTAAAATGATGGATGGCACAGAACTGGTAGATGTGAGGTCAGCAGGACTGAGGCAATAGGCAGTATGAAAACGGGCAGGAATAAGCAGCAGAGTGCAGGCCATAGACTGAGCTCTGAAAGAAGGAAAGAAGTAAATGTGATGACACAAGACAGCAGCAAACAGTAGTCTGTGCTTCAGAATGTGCTATGAAATGTACTTCAGGGAAATAATGTTGCATAAGTTCCTTTCTTACTGGATACTTGTGGTAGTAACTCCAAAGATACTGACATTTTTAAAGGCTTCTATAGGTTTCTGATATTTTACCAAATGCTGCAGATCCTGCAAATGGGAAGGGAGAGAAAGGGACACTAGAGTACTTAGTGTGCCTATCACTGTGCCAACAATCACATTTATCAACCCTTAGGAAACAGTTCCAGTGTAAAAACCAGTAAGAATGAATATGACATTTTCTTATGACTTTTTATGGAAATGTGTAGCATCAAAGGTGAGACTATCAAAGAACATTACTTGTATTTTCTGTACTTCTGCTTTCTGAATCTAATAAAACTCCTTCTCCTGCCTGAAATACACCAGGCTGCACTTTAGCACTGCCATTCATGAATTAGTGATGCAGCAATTATATCTACCACATAGGATTCCCTCCACTTAGTGAAAGCAGTCCTTGTGCCACATGGCACCAACATTCACAACCCACATTATCTCAGAAAATATTACATTAAGAAGTTCCCCTTTCTATCTCTTCCTTTCCTCTCAGTTACAGAGTTCTCTCTGCTGGTACTGTATCTTAGAAACTACTAAAATCAAGTAAGCATGTTATGATGCTGGAGCAGAGAACACAGTGATGGTGGGTGGAGGTTCTTGTATTTAACTTTCTTTTTTCCCCCCCAGGAAAACATTAACAGTCCTAAATCCACCTTGATCTCCACACACAGGTGTATGCACAAGTGCTTTCAACTTGGAAAGAATTCTTTCCTAGCCCAAGACTCCTTCAAATCAATGTTTTGTTATTTTCTTGTGAAAAATATATGGGACTCTTCATCTGTTAAACTTTAAACATCCATAAAGTGTTGGCAGAAGTGGGTCCTATGTTTGGAAATACTAGAGGGATAAATGCTAAAGCAAACTTAATGTTTCCCATTATATGGATCATTACACTAAAGCTTTGAGAGCTTTTAGGTAGTTGCTCTACCTCAATGTACTAAGGGCTTGCTTTTCAAAAATGCACAAAAGCATATTTCCTCTTGATATTTGGGTTTTAGAAATGAAGTAATCTACTAAATCTCTACTCTTTAAGCTGCAATGGCACCACTTCTGCCTGTCCTTTTTTTTTTTTTTTTTAATAGGAGTGAATTCACATTACAGTAGATAAATCTCTCACTCCTTCTTTAGAAAGAAATTCCCAAAAAACTAAACAGTAAAATTACCTAGAAAGTATATAGATAAGACAAAGACATTATGACACCCAGACCTTTAGTCTTTACTCACTTTTTCTTGCTTTAATTCACTTTAGCCCCAAATTCATCCAGATTATTACAGCTGAGCCATCTCAAAAACATGCATACATGGGCAAACTACCTCACAGTCAAAATCCATTTTGAAACTATATTAAAATCCATTTGGCAATATCAGTAAATGTAATATTATTTTCTTCATCTTGCCTGTGGTAGGAATTACAAAACCTTATGTGTGAATTTGTGCCTTGAATGCTTTGGCATCAACCCCTAAGTAATGAAATCTTTCATTAAGCCAGTTTGTAATCCAAATGAAAATACAGACTTCATAGAAGTGAATGTCTGTGAAGCTACCAGGGGGAAAAAAGCTAAGAAATTTGTTAGCATCTGTGTTTCTAGCTACCAGATCTGGTTCAAATTTCTGATGGAGCAGTCTTCCACTGGAAAATGCTGAATTAGTGAAATCATGACATTTCTCAGAAATGTTGACTAAATCAACTCTTGATGAAAAAATTTCAGAAGCCCTTAGCACCGGAATTAAAGCATTTTACTCAAAGAAAGTGATTCAACTTTTATTGAAATAAAATGGAAGAGCTGTTTATTGGAAAACTAAACTCTCTCTGCTTCCAATTCCAAGTAGAATACAGTCCACAATCCAACTGCCTTTTACAGCAGTCAATTATTGAAACTTTAACACAGCAACAAAAAAATCCAGCTGAAAACAAGCCCACATATATATCCATTCAGCCATGGCAATGACACAGGAACATCATGGCACACAGCTTTTAGGAGACAGGCCCCTACAGCAAATCTGCCCAAGATACCAACCCTTCAGAAAGCAAGAGAGATTACAAAACTCTGATCAATCTTCCCCTTTCCCCTTGCTATACTACACCTTCTACATCTCCTGAAATGTTTTTCTTCATTACTGAAGTACAAAATCTCATGCTTCCTGAGCTCAAGCAGATTTGTAGGATAATATTACATAAAATTCATTGTATTAGAGAAAATTCAATGTATTTAAGAGGAAATGAGGAATGTGTAAGGTTTAAATATTCAACAAAAATAACAGCTCTGGTTTAAACTTAGGAAACTTATGAAACTGAGTGGTGTCAACCAATAGACACTAATTTTCTAGAGTATTATGAATTTTGAGCTTGGATATTTGCCACCTTAGTACTTTTTTACTGGGATACAGAAAACAGAGAACAATTAATTTTGATACTCAAAACAATTTTTGCACTTGCTTGTGACAGATTGATGCATCAGACAAAGAACAATTGGCTCATGCCTCTGTTCTTGAAGGGTCAGAAGGCTGACCTCTACTGCCCATCCCATCTTTCTGCAGAGAAAAAAGTGTGAGTCTATAAAGCATGCTATAATTGAAAGGAAAAATGTTTTCTGCTCCCAGTTAAAAAATTGTGAAGTGAATCCTCATTTTGTGGTTTCAGCCACTGATCACTACCATTTCTGGAAACATGCCCAAGTGTAACAGTACAGAGAGCCACAGCACAATTATGCCACTGTGTCTGAATCCAGTAAGGTAATTAAATTAATTCAAATACACTCTGCTGAATACCTGTCACATCTGCTCCCGATTACTCTTATTAAGCCCAAAAAGGCAAGGAAAAATGCATTTATTCTCTCTACAAACACACTCCCAGAAGTTTTCAGCAATATCAAAGAAGAGCTATCTCCCTTAATATTAAAAACTATTCTTCAGTAAATGGGTAGGCAACTAAACTGCAGGGATTTAATTATGGGACTCAAGAGAACCTCTCTGTGGGTGGCTAACAACTCCCCTTTGAACACCAAAACACGGCAGCTTTTAATCCTGTGCTGTGTACAGATCAAACCAATAGAGTGGCCTGCTTGCCTCAGTGCTTTAGCATCTGCCTTAAGGACAGCCCAACTCCTCCATGGCCTCCCTCTTCTGCACTCAACAACCTCCTCTGAGCAGAGCTGTGTCCCTCTGGCAGAGCACACACTTCCATGGAGCCTTGTGTTTCACAAGGTGAATGTGCAGAGTGCTTTTGGGCAACACACAATACCTGGATGGTGAAAGGTTAATCTGAAAGCCCCCAAGAGCTTCTTTCTTATTAATGGGCAGTGGGAGAGAGGGTGGGCAAAGCATCCAAGACATCCCTGCATGGGAAGGTGCACAACAGATGGTGCTGACACACACACACACCCCTGCCATATGTCAGACCCTCCCTTCCACATGAAGCTTTTAGAGAAGTCAAATGGACAGACCTTTCCCATGCATGTCAGGTACAGGGATGCAAGGTGTCCCAGGATGTAAACAACTTCATCTGCCTTGGCCCCTCTAAAGCTGTCAATGAAGTGGCAGATCCTGTGGCAGAGATCAATTTTTTCCAGGAAGAGAACGGGGACTTGTATAAAACGCTAATGAAAACTTATTCAGCATCCAACTTGTCACAAATTCAGAATTTCTGGTCAGTATCCTACAAGATGTGATAGCTTCTAATGTTCTCAGAGATCACCCACCTCTCCTAAGCATACATGGAGTTTAGTTTCTTTAATCCTGCAATAAGCCAACGGGACTTTCACCTGCTCTGTAGAAGTGCATGCTGTCTTCTACATCCTGAAACAAAGATAATTTGTTCAACTAGAAAATCAATTGAAAAATCAAGGTTATTGCTTAATCTTTGACCAGTTAAACCCAAAGAAAGAAAGGTATGTTAATCCATAGGGATATCTTCTCAAAAACATGCAGAAATTAAGAATAGACGTGATCAGTAAAACACTATGGAAATGCCACTAATCTAAAGGTGCAAGGCTGTGGAAAGCATGAAGGTTTTTCATTCTAAAAAAAAAAAGAAGAAA